CGGCGCGCGGGCGAGGGGGTGCGGACGTTCGCGCCGGGAGGGGCGGGGGCGGCGGACGCGTGCGCGCGGGCGAGAGACGCGGCGAGGCGGGACGATTGGACATCGGCGCGACGCGAGGCTCGACGGGTGATCTGGGCGTGCGCGAAACAGTTGGAGGCTGGGAACTGGCCGGATGATGGGTTTCTGGACGCGCACACGCTCGCGCACGGGGTGGTCGTTTTAGCCGAGCTTAAGGGCGGAGAGGACGACGCGGGCGACGAAGAGTTCTTCACGGATGATCCCACGGTGAGCGCGGCGTGTAGAGACGCGGGTTGGGATCGTCGCACGCGGTTAGGTAGGATCGCGCTGGACCTTCTCGCGGCGTCGACGTTGTACTCTCCAGACCGAGTCCCTGAGTGGTGCGCGGACGCGGTGGCGCTCGTCGAGCGCGCTTTTTCGCGAGGCGAGAGCGCGGATGCAACCGGCGAGAAACCGCCGTTGGAAAGCGTGATACCGAGCGCGCTTCCAGAACGAGGTGTTCCAACGCTCGAGCCCGGGCGTGCGATCGCCGTGGAGCAAGCGAGCGAGTTATCGACGACTCGGTTCTATACCGATTACATAGCCAAGGAGCGACCGTGTGTCATCAAAGGACATATCGGCGCCGACGGAGAGGACTGGAAACTCATGGATGACTTCAAAACGCTCGATTTGTTTGAAACGTACGCCGAGACGATCGTGCCGGTGGAGTACGGCACCGCATTCGAAAGTCACGGCACCGGCGTGACCACTCTTGGAGCGTTTGCTCGCGACTTTTTGGTGCCGTCCAACGACGCTCATGACGGATTACCCCCGAGCGAAAAAGTCGCGTACATCTCGCAGCATCCGATATTCAATCAAATACCCGCGATGCAGGACTCGTTTACGATTTCTCCATACTGCTTGGGACGTATTCGCACCGAGACGTCAGCCATAAACGCTTGGTTGGGAACCGCAGGGACGAAGACGGCGATACATCGAGACCCCTATCTCAACCTCCTCTGTCAGATCGCCGGACACAAGTACATCCGAATATACGATGATGCACAGACCAAATACTTGTACTGCGACGACACGGACGTTCTCCGGGCCGGTAACCGGAACACGTTCACGCGCTCGCCGGTCAATCCTGAGAGCGCAGCCGACGCGCGAGAGTATCCGCTCGCCTCGCACGCCGAGTATCTGGAGACCATCCTCGCCCCGGGTGACGTTTTATTCATGCCCAAGAATCACTGGCACTACGTTCGCTCCCTCACGACGTCCGTGTCCGTCAATTTCTGGTTTTAGAGTTTTTATCATAGCATCGTAGCGCGTAGCACTCAACTGTCCCGCGCGTTCCGCGCCGTCCGCACATCGCATCCCTCGCGCGGCGTCGTCGCGTCCACCGACGGGACCATGTCCTCGGCCACGACGCCCGACGCCGAGATCGACGTCGCGGACCGCGTGGGATGCGCAAAATGTCGCTGGTCCTTGGGCGGGTGCGGGTCGTGCAGGACGCAACCGCCGAGCGATCGCGCGCGATGTCCGCCGCTCCACGCGCGCCCCGGGTACGTCGCGTGGGCCAAGAGGAACGGTATCGTCGTCAACGCGCGCGCAAAGGCGGCGACGCGCGCGCGAACGGAGAAGATGACGGAGGGAGCGCGGAAGAAGGCGAAGACGCGCGAGACCGCGGATTCCGACGAGGCAGAATTCGAGGAGGCGACGCGAGCGAAGCGAGCGACGACGCTCGAGCGAGAGGCGGATCGAGAGACGGTAAACCGTGAGACGGCCGAACGCGCGGTAGTAGAACGGACGAGGGAGGCGGCGGCGAGGGAGGCGGCGGCGAGGGAGGCGGCGGCGAGGGAGGCGGCGGCGAAGCAATTCACAGTGGACGTCGATTGCGGACGGTTCAGATCGGACATCGTGGGACGACACGGCGACAATTTGAAGGTGTTGAGGTTCAAATCTGGGGCGCGCGTGCAGGTGCATCCGGAAAACGAGACGATGATCCAAGTTTACGGCACAAGAGAACGAATAGTCAAAGCGAAAGAGGCGATTACTGAGGCACTGCAAAAGGCTGAGGAGCGCGCAAAGGAGCGCGCGGCGCGAGGAACGACCCCGGTTAAACCGAAAAAGCCAGCACTAAACGTGATGAACATCGTTAACGACATGAAGAAACCGATCGAGCGGGACTCGCTCGAGGCGTTGGCCGCTCTGCAAGATAGGTCTCAGACGGAAGAGGCGGAAGTCGCCATGTTGGATGCCCAGTCGCAAGCCGCTGTCGATGATTTCCTGGGTAAGCTCTCACAAATAACGCGTAGCCGACAATCGATATTCGAAATCACAAGCGTCGCCCTTGCCATGTCATCTCGTGAAGGTGTGCCTGAGGCTGTCGTGTCCACTCTTCGAGAGCAAATGTCAAACGAGTCCACGTCGGCGTCGACGCGGCTCACATTACTCTTCGTTGTCGACTCCATCGCCCAAGCGAGTAACGTCGAATCGCGAGGCGGGTCGCATGCCGTCCACGCCATGTACACACGAGCGTTGCGTAAGCACATAGCAGACATCATCAAACATGTGATAGCCGTGATCAAGGTGGATGAGGCGACGGAGATGAAGGGTGTCGAGGTGCCGGACGGCGCTACCATAGGGGAAGCACACGCGCGATACCGCCGTCAGGCAGTGCAGAAAGTTTTAGCGATTTGGGAAAAGCGTGGGGTCATGGGAGCAAACGATATCGCGATCGGTAAAAAGGCAATCTCAAAGTTCAGACATGAACACTTGAAGAAGCGGGCGAGGGAGTTTGATGCGAGACTGGAACGGCAGCCTGAGGCTAAAATCAAGGTGCAATCCGACGGACTTAATGCGAATGAATTCGATGACATCGCGGCGATGTTGGGCAACCAGTATGGTGGCATTGATGCCTCTGGTATCGACCTGAGCATGCTCCGAGCGAAGCGCGTCGATGACGCGGCCGACACGCCGGCGTCTCCAAAGCACACGCAAAAAGTCTACATGGACTGGGATTCGGCGCCACCACAGGGTGACACGGGTGCGTTTGAGACCACGCGCTTAAGTCCTGGTTCGGTGAGGGATCCGAAATCCGCGCACAGAAGCTTTCTCACGGAGAGCGGCGAGCTAGATTGATGTGCGTCGCGTGCTAGTTTCATGTTACAATTGACATGAGTGTAAATCAACCTAACGGTACAATTATTCCGTCGAATGGTACATACTTTGTTATTTCGAGTCCTCGTCCACGCGCTTACTCTCATCTCTCGAGTTCTCCAACTCCGTGGAAAAGAAATGCCCGGTTTCCGACCGAAGCGAGCCAGCCGCTCCCTCGTTCTCGCTATCTCCATCGTGTGCTACGGCTTTCTCCCTCAGCCTTCCGATCGCGCTCTGACGCCCCACGCCCGAGTGTGAATTCACCACTTGTTCCACCCCATCCTCCGTGTACAGGAACACCATCGCCGGCTCGCCCAGACCGTCTCCGTCCAATCGCAGCTCTCCCAAGTTATCCAGCAATTGCAGCATCATCGACCCACCGTGTCGTCGTTCCTCCCCCCGATGCGTCCGCATCTTCTCCACCACCTCTCTCGACGTTCCTTCGTTCTCGCTCGCCTCGTCCGATCCATCGAACGCGCCCTCGCGCGCGCGCGTCAACGTCATCCTCGCGGTCGAGCTCGCGGTCGACCGCCACGATCGTCGACCGTCGCTCGAGCTCGTCGAGCGCGCGCGCGCGCTCGACCCGTCGCTCTCGTCGCTCGACGCGCCGTCGACGGCATCGACGTCGACGCGGCCGTTGCCGCTCTTCCGTCGCTTCGCGCGCCGCATCCGCGGTCGACGCGTCGATGTGCCGCGTCGACGCCGAGCGAACCGTCGCCGATCGACCACGGGCGTCGGGGCGAACCGTCGCGCGTACTGTTCGCGCACACGCATCGAAAAGACGCCCACGGGTCGGGCGACGGTTCGGGCGATCGATCGGAACGGTCGTATTGCATGCGATGTAACGGTATCGCGCGCGACGTGGGACGACGACGCCGTTCACGCCGCGAGGGCGCGTCGGATGGCGCGCGCGCGAGGGTGCGACGACGCCGGCGCGGCGTCGAAGGCGCTGGAGAGACGAAGCGACGCCCGTCGAGGTCGAAGGGCGACGGATATGGCGAAGCGAGGGACGTCGCGGAGACGCTCGAGCCAGGCGAGCGCGGCGTCCGCGTCGGCGGGGAACCAACGCTCGAGGGCGATGGTGACGACGTCGGCGAGGACGTCGGGGTCGATGCCGCCGGCGAAAATGGTGGTGATTCGGTCGAGCGGCACGAGACGCAAGATGTCGGCTCGACGGGACTCGGACGCGGGCGTGGCCGCCTTCATCTCCGCTCTGTACGCGCGTTCAAACTCGGCGCCGGTTCTCGGCGTCGAGACCGGTCGACTCGCCGCGATCGCCGCCGCTCTGTTCACCAAGTCGTCGGTCACCGGTGACGCCGAGCGCGCGGACGTCTCGTCGCGCGCGACCGGTGGTTTCGCCCGTGGAGACGTCTCTCTCGCCGTCGCCGAAGACGCCTCGACGACGCGCTCGGTCCCGTCGACGTCCATCGACGCCTCCGCGTCGTCGCTCGCGTCTCTCGCGTCATTTTCGTCCTCTCCGTCATCGTCGTCACACTCCACCACCGGAATCCTAAATCGCGTCTGCGTCGGTCGAACCTTTGACTCGAGCTCGAACGCGCGTTGACTCCTCGCCCGCTCCTCGCGCAAAATCTTACTCGTCGGCTCGTACCGCAGTGCCTCCTCGAAATCCATCACGCTCTCCAAGAGTTTTCCCAGCTCCCTCTTCGCCGTCCCGCGCCGCTGCAACACCTTCACCCTGAGCGCGCAATCCATCTCCAGTCGCGCCGCCGCGTCGCAATCCGCCTCGGCGTCGCTCCACCGCGCGAGCTTCAACCAACACATCGATCGATTCGCGAGCGCCGTCGCGCTCTCCGATCGCTCCGCGCTCTCGGTGTAGTGCTCGATCGCCTCCTCGTACCTCCCGGCTCGATACGACGCGTTTCCGCGCGCGCGCGCCGCCTCCGCCGCGGTCTCCGCGCGCGTCGATGATTCCATCGACCCTCCCTTTTGCCCTCGCGACGCCGCGCGCAGGGCGTCGTCCTCCGCGTTCGCGTCGGATATCCAACGCACGACGTCTTCGCGCGCGTCCGCGATCCTTCGAGCGTCGAGCGCGACGTCGACCGCCCGCATCGACCGCGAAGTGTCGTCACTCTTCGACGACATGTCGACGACGACCGTCCCCGCGCGTTGGGCGCGCGCGCGCGTGTCGCCGCGCGCGAACGCCGCGCGATCGCGCGCGTCGATGGGCGTGAACCGCCGAGTGCGGACCGAGGCGACGACGGAGGAGGACGAGGCGACGACGACGGATTTTCGACGACCGGTGGAGACGAGGGATGACTTGCTCGAGAGCGAGGCGTTTGAGACGGCGCTCAAGGCTGGGTTCGCGGCGCTGGCGCTCACGTGCGTGGGGATCGTCGTCAAGCTCTCGGGGCCGGTGATCGGGGAGATGGTGGATAAGTTCCCTGGACGACACTAGGAGGTCGACGCGCGCGAGGCGGATGGATAACCGTACCGGTAGCGTGTATTAAAATCACTTCACGCGCTAAAAAACGACGACGATCGGTTGAGGCGAGCTTTGAGCTCGCGACGAGACGCGGCGCGACCGAACACCTTGAGCACCTCGTCGATGAGACACACCGGCGCGGCGCACGCCATGACGAGCATCCATTCGTTGAAATCGAGAGGAACAATCGAGAAGACGTCAGCCAGGTACGGTATGTACATGATCACGAAGTGCGACCCGAAGGAGACGAGCATGGCGAGAAGAAGATACGGGTTGCGCCACGGCGGCATCATGACCAAAGACCCGTCCTCAGAGAGTGCGTTAAGCGCGTTGAACATCTCGATGGCAACGAGGACGGTGAGCGATAGTGTGGACGCCTTAATTTTTCCCGCCTCGAAGTACTCGCACGCGTTTTTGCCAGTGTAATCGTATGTGACTCCTCCTGCAGTGAATTTACCTCCCTTGAAGTTCTTCCAGCTCGCGCACTGACCCCAGGTGGTGAGCTGCGTGAGCGTCACCGCGGTGTGTCCGTCTCCACTCAAATCGATGCCCATGAAGCTCGTTTGCGTGAACCAAATCACAAAGGCACCCACGGTCGCGACACCGACGTAAAGCCCGACCACGGCGTACCTAAACATGACCCAGTTGGTCAGGAGATCTTCGTCCTTCCTTCTAGGTGGCTTGGTCATGATATCCTTATCTGGCGGATTGAAACCGAGAGCAGTTGCCGGCGGACCATCAGTGACGAGATTTACCCAAAGCAGTTGGACGGGGACGAGTCCCTCGGGGATGCCAAGCGCGGCGGTGAGGAAGATACTCACGACTTCACCGACGTTCGACGATATCATATATCGAATGAATGCCTTCATGTTGTTGTATATGCTCCTACCCTCGGAAACCGCTTCGACAATGGTGCTGAAATTGTCGTCTGCTAGGACCATGTCAGACGCCTCTTTGGCGACTTCTGTGCCGGCGATACCCATGGCGATGCCGATATCGGCAAGCTTCAATGCCGGAGCGTCGTTCACACCATCGCCCGTCATGGCGACCACCTCTCCCATGTCGCGAAGAAGACGCACGATGTCTTGCTTGTGCTTTGGCTCGGCGCGGCTGAAAACGCGTCCACCAGAACCCTGGAGAATTTTGAGCTGCTTTGACCTTGGCATAGCCGCAAATTCGCGACCCGTGAAAGATCGACCCTTGACCTCGGCTTGGTTCGAGAAGACGCCGATCTCAGTGCAGATGGCCTCCGCGGTGAGCTGGTTGTCGCCGGTAATAACGATGACTCGGATGCCCGCCGTGTGGCAGTCTTCGATGGCACCCGCGACCTCCGGTCTCGGAGGATCGCGCAACCCAGCCATACCGACGAATGTCAAGTCAGACTCGATCGATGCGTAAGCCGACGGATCCTTCAAAACGGCGTGCGCCTTGTGTTTCTCCGTGCCATCATAAGATGACAACTCACCGAGAGCAGACTTGGTGGCAAACGCCAGGCATCTGAGCGCACTACGAGCCATCTTCGCTTGCTCGGCGAGAATCATTTTTCGCATCGACGCAGAGAGCGGCAATGTTGATCCGTTTGGCAACTGGACGCTCGAGCATCGCTCGAGCAATACTTCTGGCGCACCCTTGACGAGGAGTTCATTCTCACGCAATGAGCCGTTGCGCTTTCCTTTCGTCTTCTCACCCGCGATCACGCTCATCGACTTGCGATCGCGATCAAACTCCAACATGGCTTTTACGTCAAAGGTACTTTCAATCATGTCGCACACGATCTGCGCATTCTGCTCCGGATCAGATTCGCGTTTCGCCTCGACGCCGCGCATGTTCTCCAGACCTATCTTCTCACACAACACTTTGAGAGCCCCTTCCGTCGGTTCTCCGACGCACTTGTACGCGCCATTTTTGAACTCTATGTGCGCTCCATTGCACAGCGCAGAAACTTTTCCGATCGAAATCAAGTTGGCATCCAGATTTTTTGGGATGCCAATGACACCGCCCTCGGTAGGATTGTACGTCGTCCCTTCAACTTCGTACTGATCCAACTTCTTCTCATTGCGAACCGAGATGAGCTTGACCACCGACATTTGGTTCGTTGTCAATGTTCCCGTCTTGTCACTGCAAATGACGCTCGTGCAGCCGAGCGTCTCGACGCTCGGAAGTTTGCGGACGATGGCATTTTTTTGCGCCATCTTTCTCGTGCCCAAAGCCAAGCACGTCGTGATCACGGCGGGTAAACCCTCGGGGATCGCCGCCACCGCCAGAGCGACCGCAATCTTGAAGTAGTACGTGCACTTGCCCAGATCGAACGTGACGGTCGGAATCGGGGAACCAGCCTTGAAGCTAAACTGGATGAAGTGCTCGTAGTTGATCAACCAAACGATGAGACAAATAAGGCCGATCATCTTCGTCAGACTCTCGCCGAAACGATCCAACTTTTGCTTCAGAGGCGTGTCCTCTTCCTCCTCGCTCGCCTCTTTAATCTGAGACTGAATCTTACCGATTTCCGTGGCCATGCCGATCGTGTTTACGACGCACAGGCAGCTTCCGTTGGACACCGCCGTGCCGGCGAACATCATGCACGTCTTACCTTGGAGCTCGATGTCGGCATCGCGTACAGCGTCGGTTCGTTTATCAACGGCCACTGACTCTCCAGTGAGAGAGGCCTGCTCGACCCGAACCGTGGCCGTCTTCAACTTGATAACTCTACAATCCGCCGGCACACGGTCACCCGTCTTGAGCTCCACAATGTCTCCCGGCACCAACTCCCTCGCCGCCAGGGAGCCGTTCCACACGCCATCGCGCAGGCATTTAGCGTGCTCGCTTTGCATCTCCTTCAGCGCTTCAAGCGCATTCTCCGCGTTGCTCTCTTGCCAAACGCCGACTATCGCGTTCAGCACTAAGATGAGCAAGATGACCAGCGGTTCCACGTACGCCGCGAACGAGTGCCCGCCCTCACTCTCGCCGCTCTCAAAATACGCCAGCGCGAACGACACCGCCGCCGCGAGCAACAACACCTTCACCAGCGCGTCGTCGAACTGCTCCAAAACGAGCTCCCACAGCGGCTTACCCGGCTCGCGCTCGAGCTCGTTAAACCCGCCCGCCTCCGCCCGCCGCGCCTCCACGCTCGCCGCATCCACCCCCGTCGACGCGCGCACGCCGTGATGCCTCAGCGTCTCCTCCACGCTCTTCGTCCACGCCGCGCACGTCCCGTCGTCCGCCACCATCGCGCGCGGTCCACGTTTCCTTCCCTCGATCCCTCGACGAAGCTTGTCGAAACACCCCTCGATCGCGCTCGCGCGTCGCCCCTCGTGGCCGTCCGCGCGCGCGCTCGCGCCCGAGTGCGCCGACGCGCGATCGCTCGCCCGTCCTCGCTCCGCGCCGCGATCGCCCGCCCCGGTCGCGCGCGCTGCCCTTCGACGCGACCGCGACCGGGTCCACGCGCGGGGCCGCCGCGGGGCGGGCGAGGTGTGGAAGATGAACCGACGTGTGACTGCCGGTTCGTGTCGACACCGCGACGCCCTCGACGCCGACCGCGGGCGATGGCTCGAGCGCGGCGCGCGATGGCGACGGCGATGACGATGGCGATCGCGGGCGCGAGATGGACGCTCGCGCTCGAGCTCGACGGCGTCGCGACGCTCGCGCGCGCGCTCGGGGACGACGGATTGGTGGTGCGCGCGCTGTCTGGGGATGTGTGCGGAGAGGCGATTCGGTGTCGATGCGCGAGCGATGGGTCGTCGTGCGCGGTCGTGGGCGTGCGTTTGTCGGGGAGAGGATTACGAGGGAGGCTGCCGAGGGAGATGCCGGAGAGCTTTGAGGGGCTGGAGACGTTGGATCTGAGCGACAACGCGATTCGAGGGGAGATTCCCGCGAGCTTTCTTCGAGCGATGCCAAACCTGCGAGAGCTGTATCTCGGATTAAACGCGCTCGAGGGAGAGATTCCGCGAGCGATCGGCGATTTGAAAAAGTTGGAAGTCTTGAACATCGACGGTGGGTACTCCGAGCGCCAGAGATTCGCGGAGGATTGGGTTCCGGCGGATAAGCGCGACGTGTACGGGACGCCGGGAACGTATTTCGGGAATCAACTCACCGGGAGTATCCCCGAAGAGATTGGCGAATTATCACGATTGCGTATTTTGAACTTGCATCGAAACATGCTCGGAGGCGAAAACGACCGCTTGGCGATTCCGGCTTCGATCGGCAAACTCGCGAGGTTGGAGTTTATGGACGTCTCTGGCAACAAACTTCGAGGAGCACTCCCACTCGAGATCGCCAGGTTGTCCCGGTTGGTTCAGTTAAATGCAGGTAAATTTTTCAAAGCCAACCTTTTACTTTTTTGATCAACGTATGTAGATGACAATTTTATCACCGGCGAGATTCCGAACGATTGGAGCGAAGCGAACGCATTGGAAAGTCTCATACTCGAAGGGAACCTCCTTGAGGGTCCGCTCCCGAGCTTTCTCCCTAGAAATCTGACGTTTCTGGATCTTCACGAGAATCAACTGACGGGATCAATCAATGAACCACTCATTCGTTTGACAAGATTGGAGAGCGTGCTGCTCGACCGGAACTTATTTTCCGGGCCAGTGACGATTTCTTTGCAAACCAACCCGAATTTGAAGATGGTGTCGCTGGCGAACAATCGCGAGCTGTGTGGTGAACTACCCACGCTGCCGACATCGACGCAAGAAGCGCGAGATAATGAGTGCGATAAGCCGTACGAACTGTGCCAGCTGTGGCCGGAAACTGCTGGGACGCTTCTCGGGCTTGGAACGTGCTCGTGCGCACGCCCCGGCGAATCGTGCTCGGTATGGAGCATCGGAGGGAGACGGGAGACGTGCTGTGAAGAATCGTCGTGCCTTCTCGTTCCATTCGGATTTGGTGTAAAATCGTGCATCCCGTGCTCTGATGCCTTTCAGCGCTGCGGAGGTCGAAATTACGACGGACCAACGTGCTGCAAAGAGGGTTTGAAGTGCACACGAATTGACGACAATCGAAACGAGTGCCTTCCGTGTGCGGAACGATGGCAGCAGTGCGGTGGAGAGGTGTACGACGGACCGAAGTGCTGTCTGAAGGGCAATAGTTGTGTTTCTTTCGATCGTTATTACGCTCAGTGCCAGCCGCTACCCGTGTCTATGTGACAGTCCATCCTGGACTCGTTGTTACTTGCGTGGTTGCACTCCCGAGGCGTTAGTCGGCACGCACGAGGCACAGGCGTTTCTTAGTCGTCATTTCGACGCGATCCTTCACGTTTTACCATTTCAATGCAAGTTCACTTACTTTTCATCGCTTTTCTACTCGGTATCGGCAGAGTTTCGGCTTTCTCTACGCAAGAGGTGGACATCGTGTACACCTCAGGAGAGGACCGCGATCCCATCCGTCTCTTCATTCCTGACATCTCTGTGCCCAACAGCACGACGACCACGCCGGAAGTTCCTTTGGTCGTCCTCTTACATGGACGCTGCATGGACGGAGAGTCGACAAATCGCATCTTACGTTTCAGCGAACAAGTCGACGAACGCGGCTTCATTCTGGCTCTTCCGGAAGGCACGAGAAATCGTTACTGGTGCTCCACGTGCGCTCGGCTTGGCGGCGTTCTCAACACGAGATATGGCTGCCGTTCGTGGGCGGCCACGCCCGCGTGCTGTGCTGCGAATCGATTCTCCTTCCGTCCGGGTGACCCTGATATTTGGGAACCCGTCGATGACGTCGAGCACATCTCGCAAGTCATTCAAGCCGTGAAGTCTCAATACAACGTCGCTGAGGACAAAGTGTTCGTTGTCGGATGGGAGAACGGCGGATTTATGGCGTACAGAATGGCGTGCGAAAAGCCTGACTTGATCAGTGGAATTGTTTCAATCAGTGGTCTGACTTTTGCTGATGCTCAAGCGAACTGCGCCGCGTTCAACGCCGACTCAAAGACACCCGTGAACGTCCTGCACATCGCGGGTGAATTCGACAACATTCCCGTTGATGGCGGGCGTTTCGAAGGCAGACCGATTCCGTCCGTCGACACCACGCTCGCGGGCTGGGCCGATCACAACGGATGCGACTCAAACGCGAAAGTCACGAATTCGAACGTCCTCGTGTCTCGCCAAAAGCTCGTACCAAACGCTGCCGACACAGATGTCATGTTCTTTGGCAACACAAGCGAATGCGATACCGGTGGCCGCACGGAATTGCGCCTCATCCGAGGACTCAACACCGAACTCGCCAACGCGATGACATTCACATCGAGCTTTTCGCCAGAAATCATCGATTGGATGCTCGAGTCCGAAGGTGTTTCGAACAACGGCTTCGTCGATGTCGTGGATGATGATGATAATACTGCGCCCGCGCCCGCGCCGAGCGTTGAAACGTCCTCTGGTCCCGAACAAGGCTACACGTATTGTCCGCCCGATGTGTTGCGGTGTCCCGATGGGGAGATGGTCACGCGCCAAGCGCCTACGTGCGAGTTCCAGTGCTCGAACGGCTCCCCGCAAATTGAGTATCTGGAGTCAATCTGTACGAGCAACGACTGCTGCGGTACGTACGGCCTGTGCCTGTCCACATCCGCTTGCACCGGCGTGTCATGTCCGAACGATATTACTCTCGACAACTATGACACGTACATGCTCGCTCGCGAGAGCCCGCCGACGGCTCCGCCGAATAGCGCCGCTGGAAAGACAGACGCGTTCACTTTCGCCGCGCTCGCCGTCGGCGCGATGATCGCGTTCGTGTGAGTTTCTCGTTCGCGCATTTAACCTGTGTACATCACGGATGAATTTAATGAAGAGCGCTGCTGCGTTACAATTATCACCGATCCGGCTTAAGTTTCGTTCGATGAGATGTTTTTCTAAGCGTTCCCTCGACGCGGTCGGGTAGAGACGTTTGAAGCCTTGAGCGCCGAAATCATCGCGTTCGAAGTGTCGCCCGTCTCTCGCGGCATCGATGCCATGGGCGCGATTGGCTGAGCGTTTGACTTTTGCGCGCGTAGAGTCAAGCCAACGGTCACCGAGCTCGCACCGTTATCCTCGTCGAGATCCATACCGCCGGCTCCGTCCTCGATCGACTCGGATCTCTCCGGCGTGCTACCCTTCCCGCTATCGGCGCCTTGAAGCATGAGCAACATCTCCGCCTCTTCCTCAAGGTTCGCCGGCTTGGTGGACGTGGATAATTTGGACATGCGCCCGGATAACGCACTGTCGTCGCGAGGTATTCCTCCTCCGCGACCTTGCACCGGTCGCGTCGGCAGCGGCGGCAACTGCGATCGCACCGACGCCGGAATGGGAACATCCTTGCCAAAGTTTGTCACGGCTGCGTCTCCACGAATCGCCCGCGCGGCGGCATCGTACGCCAACGCCGCCTCTTCGGCAGAATCGAACGTGCCGAGCCAAAGTCGCGAACCACGCGTTGGGTCTCTGATCTCCGCCGCGTACTTGCCCCACGGTCGCTGCCTGACGCCTCTGTACACGCTCTTCTGCGGTTTGCCGCTCGAATTCAACGGCGGCGACGAAACCGCCGCCGCGTTCGGCAACGATGCGACCGCTTGCGCAGCCGCCGTCGCCTCGCTGACGGCGGCGCGAGCGAGCTCCATCCTCTTCACCTTGGTCACGCTCGTCGACGGCTTGTGCACGCCCCCCGATCGAACCGGCGGAGACGACGAAAAGCTCGCCAACGACCGAGGCGAGTCTTTCATGTTCATCGGGGGACTAAACGCGCTGAATCCACTGTTTGGCGATCCGATGTGATGCTTTCCCGGGAGCGAGGACGATAATCCCGGAAATCCCAACCCTCGCTCTGGCTGCGCCATGGGTCTCGAGACTTGCGGAATAGCCGTGGGCGACGATCCGTAAAACGTTGGCGACGCCCCGAACGACCCCGGAGACGTCCCGAACGCCGCGTGCGCCATCGCCATCGACGCACCGGATCCGATTCCACCCCCTCCGACCACCCCCATCGCGTTATAAAATCCCGCGCCGATCGGCGCGCTCCCGACGGCGAACCCCCTCGCGGGCGCGCTCGACGCCCCCCCGTCCCCATCCACACCGCCCGCGCTCGTCCCGTTCGCACCACCCCGATACGGCTCAAACGCCGCGAACGCACCTCGTCTCAGACCATCCGCGGACGTCCCCGCGCCCGCCTCCGGCGGCGCCATCGCCCGCGCGGACGCCCGCCTCGGCGCTAATCTTATCGCCTCTCGCGTCTCCACCCGTCGCGCCCGCGCGCGCGCCCTTTTCCCACCCCTCGCTCGGCACCACGCGCGCGCGCGGACGTCACCACCCCCCTCGCCCGTCACCACGACGCGCGCGTCGCGCGTGGGTCCACCGCGGTCGAGTCCGCGCCGCCGTATCCGCCGCCTCGACGCCTCCACGCCGTCGCGTCACCGCCCGATGCCGTCGCCCGCGCGCGTCGTCGGCCGAACCCCTCGCCCGCGCTCGAGCGCGTCCGTCGCGTCCGTCGCGTCGCCCTCGCGCGTCGCGTTCACGTGCGCCCGCGTCGCCGTCGCCGTGAGCGTCGACGCGCGATGGCGTCGACCGCGGCGACCGGCGGCGGATACGACGCGCGTGCGAGGGTTTAGGTGTGCGAGGCACGCGTCGTACTTCACGCGGTATAAGGACATCATCGCGCGCCCGTCGCGACATCCGCGCGCGTGGGTCGACCGCGCGACGGACGGGTCGATGGTGCGTAGTCGAGGCGTCGATCGTCTATCGCGTGGTGGGCGTGATGCGGTGCTAAGCGGATGTAGGGTTTAGGGTTTAGAGTTTCGGGTTTCGAGTGGATGGATGCATGAATGAATGAATGGCGGCGTCGATCGCGCGCGCGAGACGGCGACGCGGCGAACGCGCGCGGACGAGGGAGATGGAGACGACGTACGCGGCGATGACCTCGGACGTCGTCGTCGTGAGCGCGGCGGTGGTGCTGTGCGTCTCGGTCGGGGGCTTGGTGTGGATGAAAACGTCGGGGGGACGGACGACGGGGTCGAGCGTGGCGACGGGTTCGGAGAAGGACGCGGACGATGGGACGCGGACGAAGCTCACGGTGTTTTACGGCACGCAGACGGGGACGAGCGAGCGGTACGCGCGGGAGGTGGTGGCGCACGCGCGCGCGCGGTACGGAGACGCGGTGCGGGCGAGAGCGATCGATTTGGAAACGGTGGACGCGATGGGGGCCGAGGACGCGCTGCAGGCGGAGACCGCGTGCGCGGTGTTCTTACAGTCGACGTACGGGGACGGCGAACCGACGGACACGAGCCAGGATTTCGTGTACTGGGCGAGAGACGCGGCGAACGACGGGCGCATGCCGGATTTGCTCGAGAGTCTCACCTTTAGCGTCTTCGGACTTGGGAATCGATCGTACGAGCAGTTCAACGCGGCGGCGAAGATGGTTCACAACGCCCTTATCGGGCTCGGGGCGAAGCCTTTGCTCAAGCTCCATCTCGGAGACGATGATCAGTGCCTCGAGCAAGACTTTGAAAACTGGATCGAGGCTTTTTGGCCCGCGTTTGAGACCAAGTTTGGCTTACACAGCGACGGTGGGGACGAAGACCTGCCTCGTTACGACGTTGTCATGATGGACGGTGGCGACGGCGAGCGCGCGGCGGCGACTCAGGCGGCCAAGTACGAGAAGGAACACTCCAACGCGCGCGTCGCCGCGACGGCGACGCATCCGTTTCTCGCCCCAGTAAAGGTTGTTCGCGAGCTTTACGGCAACGGCGCCGATCGAAGCTGCGTGCACGTCGATTTCAACATCTCTGGTACGAGTCTGCACTACAAGACGGGCGACCATTTGGGAGTTTTCGCCGAGAACGGTGCGGATATTGTCAAGCGCGTTGCCAAGACTCTCAAGTGCGACGTCGACTCCGTCTTCCGTCTGGAAAAGCCGATCGATGCCCCGGCATCGCTCCCCGAGCCTTTCGCGACGCCTATGACGGTTGGGGGCGCCATCGCGAGATACGTGGATGTTTTGAGTATGCCACGCAAGCAAGCGCTCGCGGCACTCGCATCTGTTGCCAGCGATAAGGACGCCAAGAAGCTCGCGTTTTTGGCGTCTCCGGCGGGTAAGGATGAATTCGCCAAATACATCACGAAACCGCACAGATCGCTGTTGGAGGTAATGGAGGACTATCCGAGCGCGGTGCCGGATCTCGGGCTGTTCTTTGGGGCCATCGCTCCGAGACTGGCGCCCAGATTTTACAGCATCAGTTCCAGCCCAGCCGCGGATAAGAACATCGTCACCGCCACCGTGGCCGTCGTCAAAGAAAAGGTGGCCACCGGACGGGAGCACGAGGGAGTGGCGAGTACCTTCTTGCAACGAGCGGCTGAGGGTCAAAAGATACCAATCTTTGTGCGCACGAGCACGTTCAGACTGCCACAGAATCCAGAGGCGCCCATAATCATGATCGGTCCGGGCACGGGCTACGCCCCTTTCAGAGGCTTCTTGCAGGAACGCACCGCGTTGAAAGCGTCGGGGGCGAAGTTGGGCCCCGCCATGTTATTCTTTGGCTGTCGCAACAAGGATAAGGACTTCATGTACGAAGCAGAAATGCAAGCTGCGCTTGAGGACGGAGTCATCACGAGTCTTGACGTCGCATTCAGTCGCGATGGTCCAAAGAAAGTTTACGTACAAGACAAAATTATTGAAAAGGCGAGCACGGTGTATCCGATCGTGAAGGGCACGGTCGGTAAGAACGAAGGTGCCGTTTACATTTGTGGTGACGCCAAGAATATGGCCAGAGACGTGAACAAGGCGTTGCTGAGCGTTTTGATGCGCGAAGGCGACTATGCCGCGCACGAGGCTGAAGAGATTCTTCGAAGGTTGAAAAACGAATTTAGGTATCACCAAGACGTGTGGTAGTCGAATCGGTAGGTTCGGTAGATTCATTTAATTAGTTATCCGTCTTGATTGAAATGCAGCGCTAAGCGGTCTCTTATCCGACAGCGTTCTCGAAGGCGCTTTGCGTTTCTTGAAGAATTGTTGAATCAATTTTATCTGATGCGCTCAGAGCGTTCAAGGCGTCTCGTATTCGTGTCGTGTTGTCTTCCCCCAATGCGAGCGATGAAGCAGTTCTCCTCGTCATGTTCAGTATCGTGATTGTAGCTTCGTTCCACGCTTGCGCCTCAGCGTCGTCGCGTGAAACTAGACACCCTTCTAGGGCCACCACGACGGTGGAGGTGGCGGCGTTCACATCCGTCGAGCTAAGAGCTGCTCCCAAGAACTTTTCGAGCAAGCGCAAACCATCCATCATGAACGCAGTAAAATCAACAATCGAAGGCGATGGGTACCTAATGCTTTTCGCGACATGCGTCGAAAGCTTGAGAAACTCGTTCGGTCGCATGATGGAGCACGTCTCAATGGACGTTTCGTCAGCAAAACTCGCGTTTAAGACGCGCATCGCCAACCTCGATGACTCGTCTCGTTTCATCAGAGCGTCAGTGCAACAAACCAGCACGGGCGTGGACACAAAATTGGCGAGGAACTCTCGACCGACTGAACACGCCGCGATAGCATCAGCGATTTCAAGCGCCGCAAATCTCAGGGAGTCATTCTTCTCTGCGTTTTCAATGCACGACATCAGCGCATTTCGCAACGCAGTGCCGTGGCATGCTGCCTCGATACTGGCCTGAGAGGGCATCCCTATACGCGCGTTGCCGACACCGTTTTGCGCTTCACACATCGCACGGATCACGCTAACGAGTAGCTGTTTGCACGCGAGCCGGAATGAAACCCGCGTAGCAGCTACGCCGACGCTCTTGATCAGGAAGGACACAAAAAAATCAGGCACAGCACCGCGTGTCACACACGTTCGCAGAGCGTCAGCATCGAACAGGTACACGTACTCAACCCCGAATAAATTATCTTTCGACTTCTTTGCGGCGCTGACGCTCGTAATCGCTTTTAACCAAACTGGCGAATCGGTGGTGCGTGGGAGCTCCTGTGTCGAAGTCGTTTCGTTGCGGCCAAAAAAGTTCTCCAAAGTGGTGGACTCGTCCAGCTTTTGTCGCTTCGCTGGTTTGTGAACGCTCTGAGGGACGCTGACAGCGTTTTCTCGCAACCTCCTAACTTCCTTTTCATCGAGACCGACGGCTTTTAGCGCCTGTTGCGTCACTATCCACATTTTTGCCGTGTAAGTCGCGATTTCAGTTATTTTGCGCTTGACCGCAGCAGCTGACAATCCCGCAACAGTATGGATCGCCTCTTCGAAGAATTGCTTGCTTGCCTGTCCCACACGCAACGAAGGATGTTTCAATAGAAATTCGACCAGCATCCGCAGATTTTCTTGTACGACGTCGTCAGCGCTGAGTTTCCTCATAGATTCTCGCACAGACGGCTTCCCTGTGGGCGCCTTGGTTGCGGGCGACGAGTTTGACGTCGAAGCATGCGCACCGATGCGGGGCGCTGACGAGAATGACGATGCGAGCGAGAAAACCCGAAGAAGCGCTGGATCCTCAGCTGCCTCGTTCGTTTCCAAGTGGGCTGGCAAACTCGAAATAACCAGAGCTTCGCCTGTTCTGCGCGCGCGGTTGGCGAGCATCGAAATTGTGGCTCGGTGCCGCGCCGTTTCTTCGTCGTCGCCGATCGCGGTAGCGTCAAACTTCTCAAAGTCGCCAATCGCTTCATCTTCTCCAGCGATGAATCCGTCGTCGTCGTCATCAGACGGCGCCATCGGCTCGTCCTCCTCTTCGTCTCCGTCGGAAAGACTCTCCCCAGAGTCCTCTTCTTCCCATTCGTGAGCGGAATCGTACTCGTAATCGACATCTGCCTCGCGTTTAAAAGGGTTTCGACCAGTAACGACCGAGGCTTTCAGCGGACGGTTCGGAAACGGGCCAGTACCCCAAAACGCAGGTCGCTCGTACAGTTCCACGTCGATATCGAACAGCCGCCTGCGCCTCGCGGCCTTGACTGTAGATTCGATCTCGTCTCGTTTGCGCTTCTTTGTGCCGAAACAAAGCACCGCTACGATTTCGACCTCGGGATTGACTCGTCGCGCACCCCATCTATTCTTCAAACACCGACTAGCTTTTGCGCACTTTGATCTCCATCGCGATAGCAATTCGTTCCGAATAGTATCGATGCTCTCCGTCTCATCATGAGCTCGCACGATGTTGTCCAGTCGCGTTCGCACCTCGCTAGAAATTTCTGGCGTTTTGACACTCGGCGTCACCGGCTTCTCACTCTTCTTGGCTTTCCCTGGAGTAAAAAATCTGGCGAAACGATTGGCCTCCTTTGCCTTCTTTTCCGCAGCCTTTCGCTTCTCCGCCTCTTTCGCCTCCCTCTCTGCGATTTTCTCGGCTTCCTTCTCCACCTTGAGTCGCGCCTTCTCCTCTTCAGCTCTTCTCTTCTCCGCCTCCTTCGCCTCTCTCTCCGCGAGCTTCTCCGCCCGCATTCGCGCCTTCTCCGCCTCCTTCGCCTCTCTCTCCGCCTCTCTCTCCGCCTCCTTCGCCGCCTTGACGCGTTCTCTCTCGGCATCCTTCTCAGCCTTCATTCGCGCCTTCTCCTCGCGCGCGCGTTCGATCTCCTCCGCCTTCGCTCGCTTCTCCGCCTCCTTCGCCGCCTCTCTCTCCGCTCGCACTCGCGCCTTCTCCGCCTCTCTCTCCGCCTTCTTCGACGTCGTCGTCGCTTTATCCGTCGTCGTCGTCGTCGCGCCCGCGCTCGTCGTCAAATCCACGACGACGGACGCCTCGACGTCGACGGATCCCGCGCGCGCGGGCGAACGGCTCGCGCGTTTGCTCGGTGACGCCTCCGATTGGTTCCGCGCTGCGTTCGTGGCGTCCGTCATGGCGTCGCGGGACATCACGCGCGCGGGGAAGTGCGGAACGGTTAGGAGTTTGAATTTTCAAAGTCAGCTGTCGCTCGGCGCTACGTGTACGCCGCGGTGAGATCACGGTACTTGCCACCTGCACGGATGAGGCTGTCGTGGGTGCCGCTCTCTGCGACGATGCCACCGTCACCGCTATTTTCAAGCAAGTAGATTTTGTCCGCGTTTCGGATCGTTGAGAGACGATGCGCGATGACAATAGTGCTGCGCTTGCTGCCGTCGGCGAGCAACCCGTCCAGGGCGGCCTGGACGAGGCGCTCGGACTCGTTATCCAAAGCAGACGTGGCCTCATCGAGGAGCAAGATACGGGGGTCGTTAATGATGGCGCGAGCGATGGAGATGCGCTGCTTTTGACCGCCAGAGACGCGATTGCCACCGATGCCGACATCCGTGTCGTAGCCCTCGGGCATGCGTTGGATGAACTCGTGCGCATTCGCCAACTTCGCTGCATCGATGACTTTTTGTCGCGTCGCGACACCACCTGGCATACCCGCGGCGATATTATCGTGCACACTTCCTGAGAAGAGCGTGGGCTCTTGCTCCACCAATCCCACGTTGCTTCTGAACCACATCAAGTCGAGATCGCAGAGGTCAACGCCGTCGATGAAAATCTTACCCGCGCTCCCCGAGCCCTCGACTGCGACCTTGAATGCCTTCCCGTCATCGTCATTTGCCACACTTTTGCTGACCCTCACGATTTCGTAGAAACGTTCGAGGAGTTGAATCGCCGTCGACTTGCCACTACCAGATTGACCGATGAGCGCCACGGTCTCTCCGGGATTGACTTCGAAGTCCAACCCACCGAGAACCGGAGCATCACGCGTTGGGTAGCTGAAAAAAACGCCTTTGAACTCAATCTTACCCTGCAATTTGTCGATCACCTTTCCAAACTTCTTCTCGTCCGATTCCTTGGACGACGTCGGGACATCACGAGGCACCTCCTCGGTTTCCGTCACCTTCACGAAAGGCTGCGCGTTCACCAGCGGAATTCTGTCGATGAGTTTGAAAATGCGTCCCGCCGAAGCGACACCATCACGGTTATCACCCGCAAACGTTGCGGCTTGACCAACACCCGCGGCGCAGAAGCCAAGCGCCCAGAGAGACTTCATGAAGTCCATAAAGTTAAGCTCATCCTTTTTTATCAGTTGGCCACCCCACCAGAAAGCAAAGCCGTAGAAACCCATCGTCAGCGCCTGAGCGAGACCAAACGCACCACCAGTTCGGAGAGCCTTCCGTCGTTCCTCACTTATGGTGGTCGAGATAGAAGCAGCATAGTTCGCCGCCATTTTTTCTTCGAGCCCGAATGCGTGCACATCTTTGATCATCGTGACAGTCTCCGAAACGCGAGCGGTTCCCTCGGCGACGGTATTATCCAGTGACGTGTCATCTGCAAGATTTTTCATATTGAGCATTTCTCCAATCGATAGCACCGGGACGCACGCAAGAAGAACCAGTCCGTATTTCCAGCTCGCGGAAAGCGAAACAGCGAGGCCAAACGTGAGTGCCGCTGCGGCTTGGATCGCGCTTCCAAAACTCTGCCCAGTCATTGTGCGGACTTTTGTGGTGTCTGCCTGGAGAAGAGTCGTAAGTGCACCGACAGTGTTTTCCTTTTCATCAAAAAAAGCAACGTCCTGACGCATGATGGACTGAAACAAGTGAACACGCAAGCGCGCAGTGAGTCGCTCGCCGATGTTACCGAAGATCCCACCTTGCGTCCCCATGACGATGAACGCTCCCACGGCGACGGCACCCATGGCACCAGAAAGTACAGCAGAGCGTTCCCGCATGTACTCGATGTCATCCAAGTAAAACACGGTGAGAAGCTCGGCGAAAACGAATGCGACGGAAGGCATCACACAACCGTTTGCAACCGCGAAGAGCGTCCCGAGGGCAAGCAGCGGCGTGTCTCCCGAGCTGTATTTCCAAACACGTGATGCTTTCACTTTGTACAGCTCCGCTTTCTGCTCAGTCTTGTCACTTTTCTCCGTGCCTTCCTTGTCTTCGTAGACAGAGTCAGTTTTGAAGGACTCGATGGAAGCCGTTGAGGCAGACTTCTTTATAGTGGCGATACGCTTTACTGGTTCGGTCCTCGACATGCCCACCAAATTGCGATACATGCCCTTCGGACCACGAGCCATGAGCTCATCATGCGTTCCTTGTTCGAGAACGATCGAGCCGTGGGCACTACCGGCACCACCTGCCAATCCGGCGGCTGCGTCTTTGCTGCCGAGAACTACAATTTTATCGGCGTCACGCACTGTCGTCAATCTGTGAGCGATAACTATCGTCGTTCGGCGTCCGTGTGCGGTGTTATTCACTAAACCATCGAGAGCAGCCTGGACAAGTTGTTCATTTTCGGTGTCTAGAGCAGATGTGGCCTCATCAAGGATTAAGATTGCCGGATTACGCAAAGCGGCCCGCGCAATGGCAATTCTTTGCTTCTGTCCACCAGAGAGCTTTGAGTTTTTTCCTCCGACTTTCGTGTCATAACCGTTCGGGAACGAGGTTATGAAATCATGTGCGCACGCCGCTTCTGCTGCGGCGGCGATTTCGCTGATGGTCGGCTTCGTACCCCCGAGAGCCATCGGTCGACCGGCGGCGATGTTATCCGCGATGGATGCCTCGAAAAGCAAAGGTTCTTGCGAAACGATGCCGATGTTCGCACGCAGCTTGTCGATACGGATCGTGCGCAAATCAATTCCGTCGAGGAAGATCGAACCGCTCGTGGGATCGTAAAATCGTTCGAGAAGCTTGGTAATAGTACTCTTACCGCATCCCGAGGCGCCGACTAAAGCAACAACCTTTCCGCCTTCAATCGTGAGATTCAAGCCAGTAAAGACTGGTTTCTGCGGGCTATATTCAAAGTTGACGTCCTTGAACACGATTTGTCCGTTAATCGGCGTCGAGAGCTCCTTACCAGTCGGCGCTCGCGTATCGATGCCGTTCTCAGGCTCGCGGTCGATCACTTCATACAGTTGGTGCGCAGCAACGCGAGCCTTTGCTAAAGCCCCGAACGCCGGACCAGCCTGTCCAAGAGCAAATCCACCGAACAGAATGGAGAAGAAAACCATGACGATGGTTCCTCCCGTGTAACACGGTGACGCGGCGGAGTCCAGAACGCCTCCGAAAGCCGTGTCCAGGCGGTAACCACAGCCACAGTTCGGTGTTGTTGACAACCCAGCCATGGTGTAATCCAATGCGCAGGCGCATTGCGACAGGGACTCACCAGTGTACACTCGGTTTGGATCATTCATGTACGTGCACTTGATTGACGAGAAGTTGGCGTGCGCGCCCCAAGTGGCATCATTGATGTCAGTCAAACCGCTCGGTGCGGGGTACTTTGCCAAAGCATCGGCCTTGCTGTCCGCGATCAGCTTGGATCCGTACCACAGACCCAGTGCATACATGACGAACATAGATGCAAAGAGCCCACCTCCGGCAAATGACACCTTCCAGAGTTGCTTGGATCCATAGCGCTGCGCTTTACCCAAGTTGGATTGATATCGACTCGTCGCCACGCGCTGAAAGTTCAAAGCTGTCGTGACGCGAATCGCTCCGATGGTCTCCGTCGCGATCGCGCCCGCACTGTCGTATTCAACGTTTCCTTTTTGAGTGTCTTGAATCGCCTTGATCAAAAAGTACGTCGAGAATCCCAAAAGCGGGACGCACGCGAGAATGACGCCGGAGAGCTGCGCGTTGAAGTAAAAGCCCACCCCGAAGCCACCAGCCATGGAGAAGAAACTCTGGACGATCTCTGCGAACTTCTTTGACAGACCGACTTGAAAATCATTCACAGTGGCCCCGGTCAGCGTGGCTAGTTCGCCCGCTTTCTTACTCTCAAAAAATTTGATGTCCTGCGCCAGCATGCTCCTCACGAATGCGGTGCGCACGTTCCTCGCCGCGCGCGCCGCCGCCCAAGAGCACAACCAGTACCCCAGCGTCAAACTCAGTCCCAACGACACCGCCACGATCTCCATCGCGATCACGGCCTGGTTAATCTGCGACGCCACGTCCCCGACGGCGGTGGAGTCCAACAAATTACCAAACGCCACGTTGACGGCTGGAAACAGCGCCCCGCCGAACGCGCTGAAAACCATCCCACCCCCGAGCAAACCCATCTCCATCGGTCCGTAGTACCTGAACATGGCCGTGAACGGCGCCATGGGCGCCGCCGCCCGCGTCTCCGGGTCGTCATCGTCCGCCCTCTCATCCTTCGACGTCATCGCTTCCGTCGCATTCTTCGTCGTCATCGCTTCCGTCGCATTCTTCGTCGTCATCGTCGACGCGTCGACGACGATCTCGCGTTCTCACGACGTCGCGCGCGTGACGTCGCGCTCGAGCGTCGCGTGGACGTCCGCGCGCGTCGCGTCGACGACGGCGTCGCGACGTCACGCGAGATCTCGTCGTCTGATCCCCGTTGAGTCACCGAACGGTCGGTCGGACGGACGGACGGAGCGACGAGACGGAGCGAGGTCTCGTCGACGCCACAGGCGCGCGCGCGACGGCCGCGCGAAGGGACGATTCGAGCGCGTGCGCGCTCACGCGTCGGTCGCCGGGACGATGGCCGTCGCCGAGGTCGCGCGCGGGATCGGGACCGGGGCGAAGGAGCTGTCGGAGAAGATGAACCGGCGTGCGCTCGCGATGCGCGTGGAGACGTACGCGCGACGGGCGACGGAGACGGCGAGAGCGCTCGCGGACGCGCGAGAGGCGCTGAATGACGCGGAGCGTGAGGTCAAGGGTGAACGCGAGCGGGCGAACGCGGCGACGGCGGCGTGTCAGGCGCTCAGGAGAGAGCTCGGGAGGATGCAAAAGCTTAATTTAGAAGCCGAGCGGCGGGGGAGGTATGAGCTCGAGCGAGGGGCGAAGGCGAGGAAGACTTTGGTGGAGATGGTGCAGGACGCAAAGAAAGACTCGCGCGAAGCCCGAGGAGCGGCGAAAGAGGCGAGCGAGCGGGCGCAGATGATGGAGGAGTGGGCGAAGAGGCGCGACGCGGCGGCGACGAACGCGGCGACGCGACTGAACAGAAGCCTACAGGATTGCGCTTCGCTCGCGAGACGCATCAAAGTCGTCACGGAGGAGAATGTGCGACTTCGTAAGCGTGCTGTGCGCGATCGCGCTGAGCTCGACGACGCGACCGAGTACTCAGAGCGACTTGAGTCGGATTGGATGACGCGCGAAGGCGAGAAAATCACCGCTCGCAACCCGATTTACGTCGATTCAGGGACGTTTGGTGAACAAAGCGAAGCAGATTCTTGAGATTACAATATTTCACCATACTCACATGAGCGCCTTGAGCGTCGCGGCGATACCGGCGATGCTGACCCCTCCAAGGATGATGGGCACGGCGACGTTGAGCCAGCTCGTGCCCTCACCCTTCTCACCGACGAACCCGTCGTTGTTCATGAAATTCAACGGATTCCCATCCTTGTCCTCAAAGTTATTCGCCTCTGCGTCGCCAAACGCTTCGTCAGTACGAGTTTTTCATTCCGGTCGCTCGCAACCTCGCGTGCCTTATCTCTCACGCGTTCGTGCGCCTTATCTCCCTCGCGTTCACATGCGCGCGAACGCACCCAACTCCATCACGACCGTGCGCTTCGGGTCCTTTAGGTTAATCTCTGTGATATCCCCGCTGATCGTCCCGAGGCCCATGGAGACGAGCTGCTTCAGACCCTTGAAGTCGATCTTTGCCTCGTCCTCATCCTTGGACGAGTTAGTTTCTTTCTTCGTCGCGCGCACGATGGCGGCTGCACGGGCGCGCTTAGACGCAGCGAAGGTGACGCGCGTTACTGTCTTCGCGGGCGACGCGCGAGCGGCGAGCATCTCGACGGTGTCACAGAGTGTGGTGAGCGGAGCAGCGCGGACGTCGACATCAAGCGCGGCGCGCTACAATTGAGATCGCCGAACCCACGTGGCCGAGAGTCCGTTCTGTACCTATTACTGAACGAACTGGGCAATCGCAACAGCCAAACCGACGGCGAAGATGGCGCCGTGGATGGCGTGATTCCACATCGGATGTCCGTTTCTCGGCCGACTTCGGCCGAAGATGTGCACGAGCACCGGAGCGGTGTAGGCGAATATCAATCCGAAGATGCCTCCAGCCTTTGAAAGGATGAAACCGATGTCAATTCTCGGATGGGCGGCACAGAACGACCCGAGGGCGATCACGGAGACGTTGATGACGAAGGAGAAGATGGATTCATACTTCGCGGGAACGCCCGGAATCAGTGCGCTGACTTGCACGCGAAGTATGTAAAGCAAGAGCGGGACCATGGTAAGAAACTGCACTGTTATCGCTGCGTGCGCACTCAGAGTGTAGTAATCGCTCGGAGGGTACACTCGTAAGAAGTTTGCGGCACGCGATGAGCCATCTGGTCCCGAACGTACGGCTACGTATGCTGCGCTGAAATTTCCCGCAACAGCCGGCACCAGGTATGAAATCAACGTCAACGCGTACGCCACGAGCAGGTTTCTAGCGTTGTTCCTCGAATTTCTGTTCGCACGGCACACCGGAATGATCGCATGATGCGAAAACGTGCAGCTTGTGAGAAAACCCGTCGTCTTGGCGAACGTGGAGAAACTTGCCAAGGGCGCTAACGGAGCCACCGGCTTCTCCGCTATGACGGATTTGAAAATTATGAAGAAAATCAAATATGTCATGAAGAACGGTCCGGCGACGCTCATGGCAACGAATCCGTCCAAATTCCTCACGCCTCCAAGCAGTAAGAGCACGATCGCCGTAACAACGACCGCCGTGAACGGATTCCAACACTTGGCGAAATCGCGGTATGCGTTCGTACATGTCGCCCAACTCGTCCCGTTCGTCGAATTCGTTGAGTTAGTCGAGTTCGACGATAGCGCCATCAGGGTCGATAACGCGCTTTCGACCGCCGCCGTGCGCTCTCGTCGCAAACCCGCGAATCCCTTCACGATTCCGTACACGCTAGTGCTCAGCATCATGTCGAACACGACCACTGTCTGCGCGAGCATCAGCGCCATAGCGACGTTCCCGCCGACTCGCGCCCACCGCCCGAGGTGTGCGCCACACATTGCCGAAATATCATCGTGACCACCTCGCACCCCGTACCGCAACACCAACGTTGACGTGTACGCCATCATCGTGCCTATGAACACCGCGAGCGCCGCGCCGAGCGCCAACCCGCTCTCCGTGAACGCCCACGGCGCCGCGAGCACGGACGACCCGACCATGCAATTCCAAAGCGCGAGCGTCGTTCGAACGTCCCCGGCGTCGCCGCTCGTCGCGGTAACCGCGTCATCGTTCGACGCGTCGTTTCTCAAGAGCTCCGCGTCGTCGACGTATAAATCATCCACGCGTCGCTCGCCGCGTCCGTCCTCGACGTCCGTCGACGACGCCGACGCGTCGAGGTACGTGTCATCGTCACTATCGCTCACGAGGCGCTCGAGGGCTTCGTCCGGGCGCTCGTCGAGCGTCATGCTGTGCGTTTTTTGAAAAAGTAACGAACTCTCGAGCGGCACAGTGTGACTCGAATCGAATCGAGTCCTTCGATGCCGTCGACGTCGACGTTCTCGTCGCTGTCGAGACGCCTGAAAAGCGATGAAGGGATAAAGCGTGCACTGTTGACCGATGGTATCGCGGTGATTAACGACGGGATCGATCCCGCAAACGCTCGAGAGCTCGCTCGAGAGCTGTCCCGGTTGAGGTCACTTCCGAATGGTTTCGAGCGAAACAAGACGGTTTTTATGAAGGACGGCGAGCGGTACGAGCTCGAGAAGCGCGGGGTGTACGAACGAGAGGCACATGCGATGTCCGAAGAGTCATGGAGAGTCGCGGCGCCGACGTTCGCGGCGATGGGATTGGAGGGGTTTCCAGAACGGGACGCGCTGAGCTGTGCGTTGGGAGGTCGAGCGTTGACACGGGAGAGCGTGAAAATGCAGACGAGCGAGGGCGGGTGCTTTCCGTTACACTTTGATTCGGATGCTGTGTTAGATTCAAGACGGTTGACGATGTTGTGTTACCTGGGCGTCGGAGACGAAGGGGCCGAGGAGCCGAGGGACTGGAGAAAAGGAGACGGCGGAGAACTGATTTATTACGGATTTCCGAAAAAGGAGACGCTGATCGAGCCTCGAGCGGGACGGGTTGTGTTGTTTAGCTCAGAGTTTGGGTTGCATAGCGTGTTGCCGAGCCTCGTGGCGAGGCGTTACATGTTCACGTGTTGGTTCTTTGCAAAAGAGAGGAGAGAAATGGACGCGGCACCGCCGCCTAGGCCAGACGACCCAGTTCAGCAAGCGTCGGCGCTTTTGCATCCATCGCTTCGGAAACATCTTACAAAGGTCGTGCTCGCTAATGAATGGGCGAATTCTATCGAGGGAGCTCATCACGATTCGGAGAGTCGCGCAGCGGCTCTACGGACGCACTGGGATGAAGTCCAACTCATTTCGCAGGTTCTTGGGCGGAACTACCCGCTCGGTTTGGACCATATCGCGCGCGCAATGAAGAATGGAGACGAAGAAGCGCTAGCGAGCGGTGTAGAGTGGTTTCCGTAGACTGTGGTATGATCAAATGCGTCAAATTTTACAACAGTCAAGAAAAATCCAAACCTAATAGATCGTACGCCGTATTACATCGCACCGTACGTGTTAGACCCTCCTGGAATAAGAGGGGCAGACATTTTGTCTCCGTCTGCGGGGACTTTTTTAGGTCCCGCGAGCACCATTTGCACCGGCCAACCTTGCCAAATACCACCACCCTCGACGTCGTCGCCGACCATCGCGAGTGTGTGTTCGAGAAGAATGGAATCGGCCCCGACAGAAGTGCCACCCATGACGCGGGATTCCATGCAGAGTGTCGCTCGTTCACGAATGAGAATGTTGTTGAGCGCGAAAGCTCCGAGCGTATTCGTGTGCGCAATGACGTGCGCAAAGTTGATACACGCGCCCTCGCCGATCTTGACCAAGTCAGGCTCCGGCATCGGCGGGTCAGCACCAGTTGGGTAGAGGCAGACATTCGCGCTGATTTGCGATCCCTTCCAGCGGAAGTATCGACACAGATGTTCACTCCCTGCCAGAAGCATGAGATCACTCGTGTCGCTCAAGATGTCGCACAGCTTCCAGCGGAAGCAGTATGAACTGGTGTCCCATGGATAACTTCCGGGATGACGCCTGCCAATGATCAACCACTTCAGGAAGATGGAGTTGACCAGGTTGAACGTTGTGTGCACGCCTCGAAGGAACAAGAACACAACGAACAAGATTGGCAAATACCTCGAGGCTTCGAGCGATTGCCACTCGACGCCGAGATATGTCCTCGTTATGAACGCCGTGACGTACCACGATGCGTAGATCGGAATCATGTGCGCAGCGGTTTTGAATAACTGCGCGCTGATGCAAATCACTGGCATTAACCACCAAGGAACGACGGGATACGTTGCCTGTCCGAGATAAGTCGCTCGACCAAATGGCTTCGCGGTGTGCCTTTCGTCCATCATACTCGACGCTCCACCTGGATCAAGCTGTACCGCTACACCGTTGCGACTTCCGACCCAAATGGATCCGCTAGCGACAGTCATCTTTCTTGCAGCCACACTTCCAGAGCCAAGGCAAGCGTTCGGCATGACGGTGACTCCTCCGAATATCACGCATCGGTCAGCGATGTTCGCACCCCGACGAATACGAATCGGAAGAGCTCCGATCGTATCCGCTGGATAAACAGCAGAGCGCGATCCCCAGACGACGTCGTCTTCGATGTGAAGAAGATCGTACATCCCGTCGCCGACGATGACGCCGGATCCTGGCCAGAAAATGCGCTCGCCTACTGTCGCACCTAGCGCTCGATAAATGTAGCTTGTGTACTTGTAATGCTTGCCCAATAAATCCGTGAGACCGTGGAACTTGCCGTTCGGGCAAAGTTTCCTCATTATGTAGCGACGGGTCAGCTCCCATTCTCGCGCTGCCCGCTGGTTAGGTAAACCACCTGAGCGGAATTTGCCGATGATGACTCGCTTGACAAAAATAATCGCCAACATTTGAACGAACGGCCCCCACGTGGTGTGCATCAATCGCGCGAGCGTAATGCAGCCTAATCGAAATGGATCCATGAACCAAACGATGCAATCTTGCCAGCTCAGTCGTCCAAGAAGCGTGACAAACACTTCGAGCGCGTCGTAGTCGTTATCCAGCGTATTGAGTTCATCGCGCCAGTTGCGCATCCCGGCGTGCGTGAGCAAGTTGTCCCCAATCGAGTGCTGCTGCACAACGCGAAGCACCACGATCCACGGCAACCACCGAACGAACGAGCACATGAAAACGATGGGCAAAGCCACGCACAATCTGGAAGCAAGCGTTGGCGATTCGGAGTGCATTTGCGCCGTCTTTGTACTCACGGGTCTCACTTCAGCCGGGTCCATTTCTCTCCACGACGTAAAAGCCGCGAGAGTTGAACCAGCGGGTACGTATGCTCCCGGACCGCAAACGGCGTGCACGCACAGCGTACAGCTCTCGCCGATGAAGATGGGCGACAAGCGCATGCCGCCGCGACGAGCCTCAAACGCACGAATGTTGCACCCCTCGTCTACCGTCGTGTTCTTCTCGATCGTGATCAGATCGAAATCGCCTATGTTCGCCTTTGGACTCACGTATGAGTTGGATCCGATGGACGCCCCCATGAAACGCATGTACCAAGTGAAAAGCCAAGGCGACAGCTCGAAGATGCCGAGACCGGCGATTTTCGTGATCTGTTCCACCAAGAACCAACGCAAGTAGTACTGTCCCCACAGGGGGTATGAGCCCGCCTGCAGTCTGCCGAGCAAGAGCCACTTGAAAACAATCGCGCTCAGCGGGAAAAGGACTGACACGATGATGCCCACCAGAAGAATGGCGCAGAAGAAGGACAAGAGTTGCACTGTACTGTAAAAGTGCGAGTGCATCTTGTGCGTGCCAAACTCTTGCGCCTTTGCCATGAAGTGCTCGCGACGCATCCAGTGCAAGCTCGGGCCTAAATAATGAAAAACGTGCGACCAACACATCAAGAAGAGAATCCATCGCATCATGTTGTACAGGGGTCGAATAAGGTACAAGGGTATGAGTTGAACCACGCTCGGAATCAAACCATTGCTGCGTTTCGGTTTCACCCAGTCGACTGGACCGACGGGTTTCACGATGGCACCAGGTTTTCCACTCGCGCCCGCGGGTTCTTTGCTGCGTTTATCGATCATCTGCCCAATCCGTTGAATCGTCCGAAGTTCAAACATATCAGCACCCGTAATGTGAACGTCAAACTTTTTGCGAATGAGGCCCGCCAACTGCCCGGCGGCGATGGACGAACCTCCGTTCAGGAAAAAGTCATCCTTCACGGTAACCATGCTCGAATCGATGCCAAGAACTTCCCCCCAGAGGTGACGAATTAGCTCCTCGACTGGATTCGTTGGTACGTCACTCAGATCTTTTCGGATCGTTTCGCGCACTTCTGACTCGTTGACTTGCCCTCGGCTATCTCGCGGAATGCTCGTGAGCGTGAGGATCTCTTTCGGCTCGAGATAGCCCGGCAAGTACTGCGTCGCGTGACGGCTAACGGCTAATGCATCAAGCGTTTTCGGAGTCACGCACGCGATGACCGAGCCAGTGTAGTCTGTCCACGCACCGGCGTCATTGACACCCGGAACACGAAGAAGTGCTTGCACAACTCGAGGCGCTGCGTCGTGAACATTCAGAACTTGTGCTCCCGACAAGGCGTTATCCCCAAAATCTGCTTCGAAAGTCGCATCTAGATCCCGTGTACCGTCTTCGAGCTGAGGAAGTCTAAGTTGCTTCGTAATCATGCTTCGGCTCACCTTGCCAGTGATCGACTTTGGAATTCCCGTTGTCAAGATCAGACACTGAGGCCACTTCGACGGAGGCAATCGCTTCGCAACGTGCTGTATGATTTGTCGCATACCGGGAACCTGCACGCCTTTCGTCGGAACAACGAGCACGCCCACCACTTCCTGTAGTGTTCCGTGGGGAACCGAAATGGCAATGCACTCGGAGACGCACGGGTGCGTGATCAACACGTCTTCAATCTCGTTCGGTGATATAATCTCCCCACCTCTGTTTATAACTTCCTTGGAGCGCCCAGTGACGTAAAGATATCCATCATCATCCATCATACCCATGTCACCGGTGTTGAACCATCCACCGGGCTCAAAGCCACTGGAGCCCGGTTCCTCACCCTCGTAACACGTCAGCACGAGCGGACCGCGCACGTGAATGTTACCTACCGTGCCCGTCGGACAAATGTCGCCCTTGGAGTCGATGATACCGATTTCAGGACCAATCGACCGACCCGAAGTGCCGGGTCGCTCGAGAGCGTACCCCATAGGTGGACAAGAGATGGGCATGCACTCCGTCATCCCGTACGACGGGAGAATGACGGCGTTGCCAAATAATCGTCTAAGTTCGACCGCGGTCGTCGGGTTTAATGGCCCAGCAGCGTTAGCAATGAATCGAATATATGTCTTTACGGCACCTTTCTCATTCTTTGGCAAATTTTCTGCAGACTTGGTGATAAGCATGTGCATCGTCGGTGCGCCGTAGTACCATGTACACTTTTTTGAGCTGAGCACTTCCCAGAAGCTATCGACGTCAAAGAAAGGCATGGCCACTGTGGTGCCGCCCGACATGATCGGTGCGATCACGTTCCGCAGAATACCACCGACGTGGAACAGTGGCATGAAGTTGCAACAGACGTCTGCTTCATCCAAACCGCACGATGCTGCCAGCGCAGCGGCGCCAATGATCACTTGACTCATGGCAATGGGCACGACCTTCTTCTTTCCCGTGGATCCAGAAGTGTGCAAAATGAGCGCTAGTCGCTCCGGTTCCATCAAATCTTTGTCGTTTCCGAACGGATCGTCTTCGGTCGCTAATCCGTACGGATCCCCGGTGATTGTGAAGTCTCCTGCCACGGTGGCGCTGGGCGTGATTATCAGAGGCGTCAAGCTGAGCTTTTTGCACAATCGACGCATCTTCACGTCACCCTTACCCCCGTCGCGTTGATACATCAGCACTTTCGCCCGCGTGCTTCGCAATTCCGCCTCGACCTCTTCCTGCGTCGTCACGGGATTGATGGGCACCGCACAGTGCCTCTGTAAGACGCACAGAAGCGCCGTCATGAGCTCTGGACCGTTCGGGACGACCACTGCGATCCGCCTCCCGTGCGAGCGCACGCCCCACTCGGGCATATCCTTTTCACAAACCCTATCGATCAAGACTCTTAACTCCTTGTGAGTCATCCCTCGCCGTACGTCGTCAACACCCTCGATTGCTACTCGATCCTCGTGGTCGGCGAAGTAGTCCGTCAAGAGAGCCGCGCGCTCGTCTTCGTGCGTCCTTCTCGTGATCCCGTGCAGACGCTCGCGCAACCACACGTCCCGTAGCGTCCCCTGCGCACACTTCTCTTTCGCCTCCCTCGACAGCGCCTCCCACGACGTCCTTCTCATCTCGTACACGCGTTTCTCCTCCTCCGCCGCCTGACGCGTCGCGATGGCGAACGCCCCGGGCTGGGTCTTCGGCCCCACCGCGACCCCTTGACGTTCCTTGGGCGCGATCTTCACGTACGTCGCATCGTTCGTCGACGTCCCGCGCGCGCTCGACCCGTGATCGACGCTCGTTCGCCCGCCGTCTCGATTCACGACGTCGCTCGACGCGTTTTCCATCCTCGGTCGCGCGTGTCGCGTCGGCGACGCCTCACCGTCGTCCGACGACCGCCCTCGCCGCGCCACGAGTTCGCTCTCGTTCGTCATGAACCGAACGTCCGCGACGCGCGACGCGCGCGAGGACGCGCGCCGCGTGACGCGACGACGTGTGCCCACGCGCGCGGTCGCGTGACGCGTTTTCCATCGACCGGTGGCGTCGACCGGTCGCGCCTTTTGCACGCCTTTCGAATGCAAAGAACGCCTTTCGAATGCAAAGGGCGCGACCGATGGGGGTGGATCGAGGACGCGCTCGGCGCGCGCGAGAGCGCGTCGCGCGCGTCGATCTCGCGGTGCGCATGCGCGAGGACGTACCGGCGAACGCGAACGCGTCGTGCGTCGGCGTCGGGGACGAGGCGGCGGGTAAAGCGAAGGGGTGCGAGGGATGTCCGAATCAGGCGGCGTGCGCGTCGGGAGCGGCGAAGAAAGCGAGCGAGGAGGGGGACGTGGACGCGCTGAGAGTGGCCGAACGCCTGCGTGAGGTGAAACGGAAGATTTTGGTGCTCAGTGGGAAGGGTGGGGTGGGAAAAAGTACGTTTGCGGCGCAGTTGGCGTTCGGATTGGCGAGAGACGGGAGAGACGTCGGCTTGCTCGACGTGGACATCTGCGGACCGTCGGTGCCGTTGATGTTGGGAGAGGTCGGGTCGGAGGTGCACAAGAGTAACTCTGGATGGTCCCCGGTGTACGTGGAGGAGAATTTGGCGGTGATGTCGATCGGTTTCTTGTTGCCGAATCCAGATGACGCGGTTATTTGGCGCGGGCCGAGAAAGAATGGTTTGATTAAGCAGTTCTTGGGGGACACTGAGTGGGGAGCGCTGGATTACCTGATCGTTGATGCCCCACCAGGGACGTCAGATGAACATCTGAGCGTGGTGCAGTACATGAAGGAGGCTGGGGTCGACGGGGCGCTCATCGTTACGACGCCGCAGGAGGTGGCCATGGCGGACGTGCGCAAGGAGCTCAATTTTTGCAAAAAGACCGGAATCAAGGTTCTCGGCGTGGTGGAGAACATGTCTGGACTGCGGTTAGCATTGGATGCCGTGTCATTCGTAAATGAGAGCTCGGGAGCGGATGAGACGGCGCGTGTGAGGGAGCTTTTGGCGACGCACGCCCCAGACCTCGCCGAGAGTCTCGGCATACACGCCGAGGTCTTCGCCCCGTCTAAGGGCGGGGCTGAAGCGATGTGCGCGCAACTCGGCGTGCCGTTCCTCGGCCGAGTCCCACTCGATCCCACTATCGCGAGAGCCGCGGAGCAGGGCAAGAGCGTTTTCGACCCCGAGCTTCGCGTCGCCTCTGTGTCCGCCGTCGACGCCGTCGTGCGAGGCGTCGTCGTCGCCGCGGGCGACACCGCGTGAGCGCGATGACTCCACTAAAATTCTAGATTGTTGATACACATCGAATGCACGTCGAATGTTTCGCATGCCTACAGACGCCGCGAGCACCGCGCACGTCTCCTACTAGTACTATCGTCGTCGCGTCTCTCGCGTTACTCCGCCCGCTCGTCCCTCTCGCCCGTCCCGAACCTTCAACTCGCGTGGCAGAATCTCGCGCACGCCTCCGTCGACCTCCAGGCATCTCACTCCTTCTTACCCACTCCTTTATCTAACCCAACGTCCCGTGAACCGCTGTTCATGAACGCTCCTCTGCGCACCGCGGCCACTGACAACCCCTCGTCCTGTGTCCACATCACCTTGGACGGCGCCCACGAGTACCACACCGGGAACGCGAACGTCGCGGACGCGAACGCGACGAGCCCAACGGCGACTCTGGTGTTGGCGCTCATGCCGAGAAACGAGGCGTGAACGAATGTGGTCATTTTAAATTAAAATGTGCTTGCGAGCTTTATTCACGCCTTGTTCGGGTACTCTCGCGCGCCAAAGATTGTGCTCCCGACTCGAACGTTCGTGCTCCCCATCTCGATCGCCTGTTCAAAATCACCGCTCATACCCATGCTGAGCTCGCACGCGCTCTCATCGAGCCCGAGCTCGGCGCACACCTGTCGCCGACACTCTACGAGCGTCTCAAAGCACTCCGGCCTGGACGTGTAGTCGGGCATCCCGATCGTCATCAGTCCCGCGAAACGCAATCGCGGGCAGTTATCGACGATGTGTCTCGCCAATTTCACTGCATCCGCGGGTTCGCATCCGTGCTTACTCTCCTCCCCCGACGTGTTCACCTGCACCATGACGTCGAGCGCGTTCGCCCGGCGCTCTGGAACGGCGTTGTTCACCTTATTCGCCAATTTCTCACTATCGATCGTCTCCAGCATCGCCAACGACGGTACCCCCTCCAACAACGCCTTCGCCTTGTTACTCTGCAAGTGTCCGACGAAGTGCCATCGCACGTCATCCGGAAGCGTCGGCGCCTTATCGATCAACTCTTGCACGTAGTTTTCACCGAACGAACGATGTCCCGCATCGTAACACGCCTTGACCGCGTCGCTCGGCTTTGTTTTGCTCACGGCGACCACTCTCACGGATCCACCATCCCGACCGCTTCGCGCGCACGCGCTCGCGACGCGCTGGAGGACGTCAGCGATGTTTCTCGAGACGCTCATCGCGTGAGACAATGACGTCAGTGCGTGCCGCTCGCCATGGGTGGGAATCATCCGCAGCTCGGCGACGCGTTGGCGAACGTGCGAGCGTTACAGGAGGCGTACGCGGCGCACCAACGCGAGCGTCTCGATGGGCACGAGAGAACGGACGATGAGGAGAGAAGACGGCGGAAGAAGCGAGAGAAGAAGAGCCGTCGGCGAGAGGAGAAGAAACGAAAGAGCGAAAAGCGACGGAAGCGACGACGGGAGGGCGAACGGGACGACGGACGCGCGCGCTCGGGATCGGAGTCGGAGTCATCATCGAGGTCGGATTGGGAATCGGCGTCGGGGAAGACGCGCGCGCGAAGGGGTGCGCGGGAAATCGTCGCCCGCGGACGGAACGCGTGCGAGGCGCTGCGACACTTGCTCGCGAAGTTCCCGAGCGAGCGCGATGGATTCAGGGAGTTACTGCGAACAGTGGACGGTGGGAAAGGAGTCGCAACTGCGGGCGTCGCAGACGCCACCGTGAGGCGGTACTTGGAATACTTTTTTGACAACGCGAGTCTGCGAAGGTCGTCGCGCACGGGCGCGTGGACGCTCGACGAAGGCGACGTGAGCCTGATGAGTCGATTCGGTGGTGTTTTCGACGAATCGATAGAGAATTTACGAGTGTTGGAGAACGCGCGCGAGCCGTGGCTTGGACCAGATCCCGCGGTCGTTGAAGAAGAGAGGGCGAGGAAGGAGGAACGGGCGGCCAGACGAGCGGCGAGCGGCGGGCCGGAGACCGAGACGCGCGTTCTCACAGGGGACGAGGCGCACGCGTTTATGGCGGCACGCGAGAGCGATAGTGACGATGGCGCGCGGGAGCCTACGCCCACGATGAATATTGGACCCGCAGCGGGTCCGCCGCCGCAGGTGGACGCGGAGCGGCCGGCGCCAGCGCCGGCTAAACGTGTGCTCGGACCGATGGTGCCGCCGAAGAGCATGCTGGAAGCCGCGGCGGCTGAACTAGAATTTGACTCTACGTTCGGCCCACCACCGCCAGAGCTTATCGCCGAGCTCGAGAACATCGCGGATGAATCGCGGGAGGCGTGCGCGCAGCGCATCGTTCGCATCATGCGCCGCGGTGGAGACGCGTATGATATCCTTGGCGTCACTCTGGAGGACACGTCGAGCGTCATCAAGAAGAAGTACTGGAAGCTCTCTCTCATGGTTCACCCGGATAAATGCTCGCACGAAGACGCGAAGAACGCGTTTGATGCCATAAAAAAGGCACACTCTGCCCTTTCGGACGAACATGAGCGGGCGTTAATCGACCAGAAACGTAACGCAGCGAACGAACGCGAGGAATTCGAAGCCTGGCTCGCCGGCGAACGTGAAAAGGCAGCTTGGCGACGGATGCAAGGCAAGCCACTGCCGGGCGACGATGAGCTACTCGATGGCGCGAAGAAAGAGGGCGATACGCGAGAGGAGTGGATGACTCATCTCCCACCCGAGAAGCGGCCGAATCAAGGGCCACCGACTGTCAGTGTGACGCACTTTTCCAAGTCAGAAAAAGTTGCTCGGACAGCCGAGATGGAAGCCGCGTGGACGGACACCCCGCAGCAGGCTGCGGCTCGAGAAAAGCAGCTATTCTTACAAGCGCAGGAACAACAATATGTTCTTCCTGCTGCTGTCGAGAATCAAGATCGAGCGAAACAGATGGTGGATGAATACAACGCGACGTGTCGTACAAAGTCGTTGGTTGAAATACACCAAGAGCGCCAGCGAGAGGATTCCAAGGAAAAGAAAGCGAAAAAGGAGAAAAAAGAGAAAAAAGATAAGAATGATAAGGGGCCAGGTGATGGCACCAATTGGGAGTATCGCCCATTCGATCGCGATACCGATCTCAAACTCAAGAAGCCCGGTCAGTTGAAGCCTGAAGAAATGCTGAAACGAGCCGGAGGTGGATTGGGCGATCGTTTCAGGAACTAGCAAGCATAGGTACTTTTAGTTGAAGACTAACGTTAGTGCACTACAGCGTGAATTTCTACTATGTACGAGGGCGATGCACTTCCCAGCGCGTCGCGAAAGATTTCTCACGAGAGCTATCGCAGCGTGCTGAGTGGAGAACGGTGCAAACCCGAACCGTTCATGAAGTCGCCCAACGGTGACCGTCCCGGGCCGCCGAAGCCACGCGACTTCTTCGCACTCTTCGAAGACATTGCGTCGACATTTTTCATTTTCTGCGTCGTGTCCCGAGCCATCTGTGGAGTCGCCGGAGTAGTGAACGTGAACGAGCTCTCCGTTGGCGCCGGCGTCTTCAGGGTGAGTTCGCTCATGCTTTCAGCGACACGCTTCGTCAGCGGCGTCCCGGCGGCTTTCACCGATGTAACATTTACACTCGCACCGTTCTCGTGCATTTCTGAGGCGTACTTCGCGTAACAACGCCTGCAAACAGCCTTGTACGATGAGGCACCCCCGATGACTTCCACCGCCGTCTCCTTCGTTGTGCGCGCGGTGAACGCAGCATCTGCAGCGCAATCTGTGCAGACGGCGGTCAATTTAGTGACACTTTCCGCCAGTGGCACGAGCTGAAGCACCGAGTTGAAAGGCTTGCGTTGAAACGTCGCATCGAGCGCAGCCACGATGACAGTCTTCCCAGCCTGCGCCCACTTTTCGCAGTAGTGCGCCACGTCATCGAAGAACTGTCCCTCATCGATCCCGATCACGTCGTAGTTGTGCGACACGTTATCGATGTTTTTCAAATCCTTCGCTGGCAGCGCCGGCATCGTCGCCAGATCGTGCGTCACCGCCGACGTCGTCGAACCCACCGCGCCGTCATATCTGTTATCACCCGCGTACTTCACCACGAGCACGCGCCTATTCGCTACATTATGCCTCCGAAGCCGTCTCTGCAGCTCAGTGGACTTCCCACTGAACATCGGTCCGAAGATCACCTCCAGCGACCCCGATTTCGATCCGTCCTCGTCGATTCGTGTCAACATCGTTCAATTGAAACCAGTCCGTCCCCTTCCGCGCGTCGTCGCCCCTTCGCGCGTGTTTCGTTCGCTCTCGACGCCCACGTCGCGCTCAAAGGTCGAGCGCGATACCTTTGACGGTATCCTCGCGTCTCACGCGCGCGCGATGCGTTCGCACGACACCGAGCGCGTCGAGCTGTCGCGCGCGCGTTCGAATTTTCAAACGACTCCCCCCCGAGCCGAACGTTCATTTTCATCGGTGAGATCGTCGAAAGGGGCGACGTGTTTCAAATTGCCCCCGCGCCTTTTGATTTTTAAAGGCGCGCGACCGGTGAGGTCGTGTCGCGACTTTACGACGCGCATGCCGTCCGTCGCGCGCGCTTCGTCCTCCGACGGCGTCTCCGTGGCCGTGCGTAAGTACGACGCGATCGGCTCCGCGGATCGCGCGCGGGTCGTCCTCTTGGTGCACGCGAACGGGTTCCACGGAGGCGTGTTCGAGCCAGTGTGCGAGCGGTTGTGCGAGCTCGGATGGACGTGTTACGCGATGGACCTGAGAGGTCACGGTGCGTCGACGGCGCCGACGAATGGGCGCATGGAGTGGTCCGCGCTCGCGGATGACGTACAGGCGGTGGTGACGTCGCTCGGTTTGCATCGGTGTCACGCGCTCGGGCACTCGTGCGGCGGACATGCGCTTTTAACCGTCGAGGCGCGAAGGCCGGGGACGTTCGCGTCGATCTACGCGTTCGAGCCAATTTTCGTGGTGAAACAGGAGGAGGTTCCGGATTTGGATGTCTCTCCGGGGTCACCTCTCATGACGCACACGCAATATTTAGTGAAGAGCGCGACGCGAAGACGGTCGCGCTTCGCATCCACCGCCGAGGCGCTCGAGGCGTACAAAAGCAAACCTCCGATGAACACGTGGAACGCCGAGGCTTTGAACGCGTACGTGAATAAAGGTGGGTTCGTTTCGGACGTCGACGGTGTGCGCCTGGCATGCACCGCCGAGACGGAGATCGCGGTGTACAACGCCGGCGACAAGGAGACGACGGCGTTCGGCGAGCTCCCAAAAGTCACCTGTCCCGTCGCTGTGGCCAAGGGTGCGTCCTTGGCGTCCGACGGGAAGACTCTCATATACTCCGCCGTCATAGCCCCCGCGATCGTCGCCGCCGTGCGCGACGGCACGCTCGTGGAATTTCCGGATAACAGCCATCTCGGCCCGATGGAGAGCCCGCGAGACGTCGCCGACAGCGCGCGCGACTTCTTCACCGCCGCTCTCGCGCGCGAACCGCGAAGTAAACTCTAGCCGTGACCTAGCACGATTGTATTCTTTGTAGCACCGCCGTACCACGCGCACGGCGCGCGCATCACCGCTCGTTCAGATCCGCTCTGGAAATACGCAGCCACCACCACCGCTCGCGCTCGGGTGATGACGTGACGTCGTCCCATCAGCCCCGCTCGCCGTCGGCAGTCTTCGACGCGCGGCCACTCGTCGACGCGCGGCATCGCGCACGGAAGCGACCGTCTCCGTTCGATCGTCGCCCTCGCCGCCGTGCGCGTCGCGCGTCGCTCGCGTCGACGACGAAGACTCGACGCATCGTGACCGGCGGCTCGAAATAGCGCGCGTTCCGGGACGACCCTCGCGCGCGTCACCACTGGATCGCGCGAAACGAACGCGCGCGGTGGTGCAGCCGTGGGACGTCCGATGACGATCGAGCGACGGAAGAGCGTGGATGGGTACCACCGGGACGGATGGAACGTCCGCGCGAGCGCGCTGCGGGAACTATGTAATCCCATCCGGCGCATCGTGGACGAGATGGTGGGGTGTGCAAATCCGAATAAAGCGCTGATATCTCTCGCGCAAGGAGACCCTACGGTTTTTGGACACATTGCGCCGCCGAAAGCGGCGAGTGAGGAGGTGAGGGAGGCGTTCGAGAGGGGGACGCATAACGGGTACACGGCGAGCGTGGGCTCGACAAGCGCGCGGAGCGCGGTGGCGACGAGGTACTCGCTGCCGGATCGGCCGGCGTTGCAGATCGATGACGTTTTCATGACGGTTGGGTGTTCGGAGGCGCTGTCGCACGCGCTAGCGGCGCTCGCAGTGGAGGGGGCGAACGTGTTGTTGCCCAGGCCTGGGTTTCCGCTGTACGAGACGCTGTGTCACAGGCACGGCTTGGCGTACAAGTTTTACGACTTGGACGACGAAAATGGATGGGAGGTCAAGATTGATGACGTGTTTCGGCTGCGCGATGAGAAGACGGTGGCGATCGTGGTCAACAATCCCAGTAATCCGTGCGGCGCCGTCTATGGCGAAGCGCACTTAAGGGCGATTTGCGAGGCGTGTGACACTCTACGACTTCCCATAATCGCGGACGAGGTGTACGAGGACATTGCATTCGAGCCGAGTCGTCCATTTTTATCAATAGCATCGTTCAGCGGAAGAGTTCCCGTCATGGCGGTGAGCGCTCTGAGTAAGCGTTGGCTCGCGCCCGGTTGGCGCATTGGTTGGCTCGTGCTTCATGATTACGAGCACATCTTACAGACCGCTGGAGTGCACCTCGCGATTACAAATTTATGTCAAGTCTCGCTTGGTCCACCAACGCCGATTCAAGCCGCGATTCCTGGGATTTTCGGCGCTAACGAGACAGAATGGTTGAAGTCAACCCTCAACGTTCTCAGGTGCTCAAGCGCGTATTGCATCGATCGTTGTGCGCGCGTTCGAGGATTGAGCGTTCCGTGTGAGCCTCAAGGAGCCATGTACGTGCTGCTAAAGATCAGTGTGGATACTTTTAGGAACGACGACGGAACGTACGACGACGTTCGTTTCGCTAAGCAGTTACTTGCGGAGGAGTCTGTCCTCGTGTTGCCAGGCGAGTGTTTTCATGCGCCCGGCTATTTGCGCCTCGTGATCACCGCTCCACACGCCGAACAGCAGCGCGCGTGGGATCGTATCGAATCATTTTGCGAAAGATACTCATCCGAGCGCAAGATGACGGATTCGCCCAAAGATCTTGATGCGTACGTCGGGGAAGACTTGAAGCAGAAACTGCACCTCGTGACATCGCATGACGACCTCGTTTGCAAATCGCTAGATGCTGCGCGCACGGTTATTTGACGGCATAAATCGTAGCACGTTTAGTCTTGTACTCTACATTGGTGACCCTGCTTCGGATCTAGTTTAATCGACTACTATTGATTGGGTGTTAGGGATGCTACTCGTTGCTCGAGGCTCAGCCGAGAATGCTGGAGAGGGCGGTGATGCCCATTAAGAGAGACGCGACGCCGACGCCGATCGCTTGCGGCGACGGTGTCGCGTGGATTACCGGTTCAGCTGCGCTAGCGCCAAGACTGATGGGCTTTCCGTCATTCTTGCTGCGCATCTCCTGCAATCTCTTAAGTTCATCTTCCTTTGGAGGGCCCGCGACGTACTTCGGGCTCCAAGAACCGTGCACGCCGAACGGCACGTACGAGGGCAACCGAAGTCGAGCGACCGGGCCTTCCGAGAACTTCTTCGCATCGATGATAACCATCTCCGTACCGCGTCCGTCGAAGTTACTCTTCTCCGCGGCGGCGTCGTGTACGAGGGCGACGACCCAGCCATCATCTTCGTCAGTGCCACCCTTACGCGGGACGAAGAAGGGCTCCATGGCAAACTTTCTATCACCTGGAACCCATTGTTCTTCGTAGTACAGCTTTTGCTCATCAATCTTGAGAGATGCCTTGCTGAGAGCCTGCATTGGGCCGTTGACGCCGTCCTCGGTGCGACCGACGGACGTGCTCAGGTACATGTGCTCGTACGGGAGACCGGTGTAATCCCAGCTCGTGATCGGCAGCTCGCAAGGGGTGTCGCTCAACAAGTAGTGCTTCGCCTCGAGCTTGTCCATGTCGATAATAAAACGGCTTAGCTTCATGCGTGGATAGTTATCAACGCCGTTTGGGTTGCAAATATCCGTGAAGTATAGGGTGAACTTGTCCCAAGTGCACGTGTCAAAGACAACGTTGCCATCCTTATCCTCGAAACCGTTGACGTGGTGGTACGCGTAGCACCAGTAGTCCGCCGGCGCCGTCTTGACATCCCTGGAGTCTCCGCGTCGCGGGAAGATGCGAAACAATGGACGACGAGACGTGTCCTCGCAAATAAGCTCCGAGAGACACGACTTTTCGAAGATGTACTTGGTGAACACCGCCGGAAAGTCAATCTTCACCGGGCAGTCAAACAAGATGTAATAATTCTCCGTGACGATCAGGTCGTGCACGTACGAGGAAGGATAATCGTAGGCACGACGAGACACTTCCTTCCCGTTTTCATCGAATTCGTAGAATACCGCGTGCGTCGTCTCCGTGCGCCAGTCAACCTCGTTCAAGAACGCGACGCAACGTCTACTTCCATCCGGCTCGGTAACCGTGCGGTAGTGAGACGTGTGCATGGCGGAGGACAAATCGCACGCCCCGTGACCGATAGTCTCCAGCGTGTCCGGGTTCAACGCGTACGGTTTCTTGTAATCGACCGCGACGAGAGAATCGCCCCAGTTGAGCACGTTGTACGCGCCGTTCTGCTTACGCCTGAGATCGCCGCCGATGATATCGCCGAACAAGCGGCTGAAGAACGGGAACGGTCTCGGATCCGACGCGGTGAAGATACTCGGCATGATATATTTGTCTTGCTCTTCCTCTTGGTCGAAGTGTTCCGTTCGCACGAACTTGTTCCGGAAGTACGCCTTGCCATCCTTGACGGCGATGGACGTAACCATGCCGTCGCCGTCCAGATAACTCTTCACGAACCCACCTCGCTCGTACATCGCCGGCCCATTCCGCAGCAGCGTCCCCTCCATCTCCTTCGGGATCTCACCCTCAACGTCGGTGACCCAGCCCATGTTTTCGTACGCCAATCCCGGGACGGAGGCGTATCCCGTCGCGTAATCCTTATACTGTCGCTCAAACGGCGTCTGCTGCGACAGCCCTCCACCCACGCCCGAAGCATCACCCGCCACTTCCTCCACCGGTTTCATCGGCGTTCGCACCGCCCGCGCGGGCGGCATCCGCCCCCCCCTCCCCGCGCGCGCGCTCACCCATCGTCCGCGCGCCCGTCCCGGTCGCCCGTCCCGCGCGTCCACCGTCCCCGTCGTCGCCGCGCGACGCGCGCCGACGTCCGCGCGCGCGAGAGACATCATCCCACGCGCCGTCGCGAATCCCCCGCGCGCGCTCGTGACGCGCGCGCGCTCGTGCGCCGTGTGTGACGCCCCGTCCGTCGAAGTCCCGGTCGTCGCGGGCGTCCGACGTGGGGAGATCGCGCGATGGGGGTCATCGACGAGTCAGCACTCACGCGGCCGATGCCCGCGCGCGACGAACCGTATCTTCGTCGCGTCGGATGCGATCGCATGGGGGTCGTTCAAGAGTCAGCACTCGTGCGTACACACGATCGGGTGTTTTCACCGCCCGCGTGGGGGTCGTTCAAGAGTCAGTACTCGTGATCACGTACAATCGGGTGTTTTCACCACCCGCGTGGGGGTCTGTCGCGAGTCAGTATTCGTGAGCACGTACAATCGGGTGTTTGTTTGTACCGGCGTCCGACGCCTCGCCGTCGCGGTTCAGTCGACGCCGTCGACGGTCAAAACCCGGGCGTCGCGACGGCGCGAACGCTCGCGACGGCGAGGGCGTCTCCGTGCGCGACGCCCCGTCGGCGCCCCGTCGGTGGCCGCGTCGTCGTCGACGAGTCGAGAGAGAGACCCGCGGCGCGGGGAAAGACATCGTGTGCAGCGGTTGCTCGAATTCGACGCGCGTCTCCGTGCGCGGCGTCGACGCGCGGACGATGGCGCGCGCGCGGGCGCGGGCGTTCGTGCGCCCGGGTGGGTGGGCGCG